GCCAGACCACCTGTTCCACTACCGCTATATCTAAGAAATTATCAATTATATACAACTTGATAATCGAGTCGAAAGTGTATCGAGTTCCGCGTATTTTCGATGTGGCTACTATCCTTGTCGTATCGTGTTGGATGAATTTTCGGAAGGCCATCTTAAGATGCGCGTACGCATCGTTCACTAATGATCGATGCGCGTACGCATATAACTCCTCTAGTCTTAAAGGCTCACAAATAATACCGATGTATAAATAATTTATTACGATTTTCGGGATTTGAACCTGGGACAATATTATGTAGGTAGCATTAGCGTGATGCTCGGTGCTATGCTAACTCAGTGAGCCAAGGCTGGATCGAGCTTTGGCGCCGTAAGGGGGGGGTGCCATAAGGTCGTGGCAGCCCCGCTCAATCAACAACAATAAATACAATTAGAACAAAGTACAATAAATACAATTAAAACAAAGTAGTGGGGGCACAAAGCACTACCTTGTTCTAATTAATCATTTTGATTTTAGTAAGTTAATAATTTTGGTAGAGCGACACTGTTCTGTTTTGGCAGTTTGGGGTTCAAACATCACTGTCATTTTTTTTTAATTTTTCTTAAAATCCTTTGTCACCGTTTTACGTTGTGTTTACTATATACTCACTAATATGGTTGTACTTATAGAACAATGATAAAACCCAGTAGTAACACCTGTGCTCTTGCGCAGTGTTTCGTATTGTCTGTAATATGTTAATCATTCACTTCCTTACAGCTGGGAATTGACGATAGACAGAGAACATTTTTGATAATATAAATGCGTGAATACAAGAAAAGAATTATTTCAAAATTATTTTTTTTAAGGTTATATAAGGAAATAATAGATTTCTTATGTGATATGATTAATCACTTAACCACCACTGTAGCGGCTCCACAGAACGCCTAACATAGCGTACCTACGCTTGGTCGAACAGGGCACAAAAAATCAACAAAAGAACGAAGGCAACTGTAATCAACGATATACTTAGTAACAATATATTTAAATTCACTGAAATTGTATGTTGGCCTAACTGCATTAGGGCACTTCTCAATTGTAAGATTGTAATTGATATAATATATTTTATGCACTTTGAGACAAGAGACACATATTTTTTTATTTTTTAATAAACCTCACGCAGTTGCTTCTTAGTGACGCGTAAATGGGCGTCCAAAAATCGACCGCGCTAGTGGCAGCGTGGATGCGTTTTTTGCCTTTGTTGTCTTGTTTTTGTATTGTAACCACTCGGGTTAAGTTAAAGTAAAGTTTCAAATAGAAATCGTGTTTTAAACAATCCAAAGAGTTGGGGTAAACTAACGACAACATTTTCTTTAATTTCCTTCATTCTGCCATGTGTTTCACTATGAAAGCTTATATAATAGTACAGTATAATGTAGTGTGTAGTTATTTTGTGGTACTTTTGTGTAAATACTGTAGTTCCCCCCTCAACCCCCGTGACCTGCACGCATTGACGGCTGCTGCAAAGCATCCAAAATATCGAGCCGTTTTTAATAAGTTTAACTAATATATATCGCGTTTCAAACCGTTAGAGTGTTTTATTCAAATGGGTACTTAGGTGTGTTTATAAGATACTTTATTTACTCGTAGCGGAGATTCTCAGATAGAAGGTTTTAAAGGTCGACCGCCGGTGCGCGCACACCTGTGTAATCGTATTTCCTTATCAGAGCGATAACGTAACGCCAACGCACTCGAGATTCGATGCGGGTACCGTTTATTGGCTAAGTGTGACCGATTGTAATTGACTAAAGGCCTTCGGAACTGAGATCATTTCTTTTCTTTGTTATTAGACTCCGAGTGGATTCTAAAGACTGGGCGGTCAGATCTGGTAAAGGTGGGTGGAAACTGCTGGATTCAAGAACGACCGGTGGTACTGGAAGTCTTTCGCGGTTTATATATATCTGTGGAAACCGAATGACCAAACGAGACACCGAGCGAAGCCGAAGTTTGACCAGACTGATTGACTGATTTTCAAATCAAATCATTTATTTCACACACACAAAAAAAATACAAAGAATAACACAAAAATACAATAACATAGATAATAAAGAGGTATGTGGCGAGACACCACTAAGTTTTTGTTGTACTTGGAAGTAGGTACCAAAAAAAAACGACGCCCATTTTCAGTGACGCTCCACGCTTGCATTTTAAATAAAACAGTACGTACATCAAAATATAACACTAAGTTTTCATTAAAACAATAAGCAAAATCATAAAATAGAAGAAAAAACATTAAAAAAAGAAAACCACAAAAATACTTTTTTATTGTATGTTAATTCACTTGTTTTTAACTGTAAATAAAACAAACGCTGACAAATGAGCATATTTATAGCGCTATGTTTTCGCAACATGTCTATAATTATATCATCAGAACAAATGCATATTAATTAGTTTAGTAGCTAGTAGTCAAATCACAAATTCGGATTCGGTTCCGGTGAGAAGATGACCTTGATTCGGATATTTTTTCTACACCGAAGTTGATTCTGACTAGCTTTCAGTATTGCAACCTAAAAATACATTTTTAACATTTAAATGTTTAAATAAAACTTTTTTTATGGTTTAAAACGCAAGGCATATTACATTATATACTTATTTACAATTGATTTTAACTTCGGCCCGACGCTTCGGATACTTTGCAATAGATGATTTTTTAACTGTAGTTTTAAATATGTCCGTGACAGTAGGTATATTATGTCTATGTTTTAAGGTTAACTTTCAAGAACAGCTAGTAATTTATAAAACCAACGAGGTTGTTTGCAAATACAAATAATATCAAGCCCAAAACAACTCGCCACGCGGGAGATGTCGCAGCCACTGCTAGTTATGTAATACAGCTAAAAAAATATTTCCGACAAGCTTTTCATCTCACAGCTCATTTCAACATCAATTTTACGGCCCTGTGGCGCAACGGATAACGCGTCTGACTACGGATCAGAAGATTCCAGGTTCGAATCCTGGCAGGGTCGCAAGCACTTTTTATTTTATTCTTATTAGTATTTCTTATACCTCACCTATCTACATTAGCAATTAACCGTATTGTTTGATGTTGACGACATTGAGCTAATGTTTAGCAAACGTTTGTATTTCGTGAATTTAAAGCTATTGAAATTGACTCTTAGGCATTGGCATTAAAGTTAATTATCCATTGTGCTTCGTTTGTTAACTACGCACGCTAATGTAAACATTATGTAAATAGCAGTTGAGGTGATATTTGAATGGACTCGATAATGTTGAATTTTCAACGCGCAGCTGACCAAATATTGTAGTCGCGATAATTGGCCGTGATGCAATCGCGTGATCTTTGCATCCGTTTGCTATCCCATTTACCAGGTTTTTAAATGTTTCGCAATATTCTTAAAATCGACGAGCTTACTAGTCTAATGGATCTACCATTAGACTATATATAACGAACTAATAATCAACGGGACGTGAGAGTTTAAGCAATTTTTAAAAACTGGATTTCACAGACTAAGTTTAACATCTCTAAGGGTGGTAAGAAGATGTATTGTATAACCTCGTCCATAGTCGAAAAAGTCCAAAAGATTAATCGCGTTTCCAATTCTGTCCATGGGTTTCCTAATATACAAAATGTTTGTTGGGCCCAACTTTTAAAGCTAATTTTTTGTTTGTTGTAATTTAATAATATAACATCTAATCTGTCAGTAATAACTGTTTAGTATATAAAATACGGGTTTACTTTAGTGTGACTTATGTAAACCGGATCTAAACAGTACGTATTGTAGCTGTATAATATTACAATTAGGATTAGAAGAGAAACAAATCAGTATATTGTAATTTTTTATTTTCTGTTCTTTTATGTATTTATAGGTACACATATACAAAATCAGTGCGAAATTTAAAGGGAAAGTGGAAACCTAAGAAAGTTTAACAATAAACACTTTGTGACAGGGCTGAAAATTTGCCGCCAAACGTTATACTGGCTCTAGGACATGTGACTGACTTCTATTGTATGATTTAAAGGTCTTTAGATATTTTTGCCGCAGAGTCAGTCACATAACATCACACATACAAATCAACAATGTTTGACCACTAGCAAACATATCCCACAATAACTAAAACTACAACAGTCTATTAAAATCATAATACACCCATTAAGATAATTAAAGCATTTTCACCTTATATTCAATATAAAAAATCATAAAAGGTCTCCAATTTTTATAATTTCTGCTAAATGTTAATATAATTTTCAATTTTAGATACACTATTTACACATTAGTTCTGTACATAACGCATTTTTATAAATTAGAGATAGATTCGCGTTCTGTACTAACCAATTTTATAATCTACAGCAACACAGTTGCCGTCATAAATCACACTCAAGAATTAACTTAAAATAATATAGGTAAACCAACTTAAAATCGATTTACATCTTTGATATAAATGGAAGCATCGTTTTAAACTTAAAGTAGGGAGATAAGCAGAAATTTTCTATAGCAAAAAAAGAATTCGTACGAATGTATCGTGCCGCCTGTTTAATACCGAATATAAGAGTCATAAGGCTCCTTTCAGACTATGCTATAAGAGCTTATAGTTTATAGCTCGCTGATATTGCTGATGACTGTGAGAGGCAACAAAGTGCTTTATATTACAGCGTAGTCTAAAGAGAAATACCGATGTTGTGAACAGCTCAACATAACATTATATACATATGTTCACAACGTTTAAACTAGTAAAGCTTTTTACATGAAACATTATAACAAAACAAAACGTCGCAAGTTCGTAGCGGCGATCATTTGCATTGCAATACTAAGTCTTCTGCGTAATGCCACGAAATTAAGTTATAGATTATTGATCAAAACGAGATCGAACGATAGGATATCCATCTTGGGATGATTTTCACTGGAACTGATGGTCGAGGCACTCGGAGTCCTGGGTACTCTTCCGCGCCTCCGAAGTGGTCACTTCGAGGTATAGTCTCTTCATAAATTATCCTTAATTTAAACTAAGCTTAGCACGTCGGTCTTTCCGGCTGCTCCTGTTTTTCTGAAGTCTGTAACAAAGAGAACGCACTATAAGTACAATTGAGGCGTCAGCTTGTAATTTTCATTGGCCCCCATACTTCAATTAAAGGTATTGGTGATTTAATATTGCGAGTATCGACCACGCACATCCCGCGTCCGGCCATCTGTCACCACATATGCTGTTTTTAACACTGTTTTAATTCATTAGTGACCGGTCAATAAGCCTATTACTTTCTACCCCAATTTACTTCAATTGGCACATGCTGGAGGACACATGTTACTCATTGGAAGTTTGGAAACCGATTTTACGTTATTAATTTATTCTTTTCTCTTCGTAATCATCCTTTTGTTAATCTTGTAACATTAAAAATCTTATAAGAGAACAAATTATAAGATTTTGCATTATCAACGTTATCGTAACAGTTAACTAAGGCCCCAGTAGCTGTGACCAATGTATCGGTTAGTGTTTGATTACTGTTTCCCGTCAGCACATCCGCGGCACAGCTGAGCGCGCGCACGTGGGTAAACCCTATTTACGTACCGAAGGGAGGGCACACATGTCCCGGACGGATCGGCATTCGCGAACACGTGAAATCCTTTTATGAGAGGAGCATTGTCGAACCGTGAATAGGTACGATGCATTTGGCTATCCGGGGCCGTCACGTGTACTCACACGCAGCTGGTAACACCGTTACGCGCACAATGCCCTCGATCGATACGAATCCATGCGAAGGAGAGATCGATGCACGTGCGTCCATTTCGCGTTGCATTGTCTACTCGAAGACTTTATTCCTTCGGAGAAACGTAAACTCGATCGTTAAACTTTCACGTGCGCGATTTATGAGTGAGGTTTGGAGACAAAGATATTCAGAGGAGCGAGTGCTGCGTGGGCGCACACCTGGCGTTAGTGTTGCTTGTCGTGATCGTCGACTGAGACGCTTGCGTGGGAGGCCGGCATCTGTGGGTTACTGCCTCCTCGGTTACGGATTGTGTTATTGGGAAATCTTGAGGCATTTACGGCTTTTTGAATTATGACTTTTTGAAATTTTGTAGCCATTGGATCCTAATGTTTTATCAATCTATTGCGATCAACTGGAAGCTAGCTTACGACAAAACCAATAAACAAAGAACTCGGCATCATCGTTTATTATCATGTCCTTAAATCGTGGGTTATGAATGTTGAAGGGTGGTAACCATTGTGTCATGAAGGGTGGGTTACGCCGGATTACACGCCTAGCTTTCATTATTATTGGCGCTTAACTACTTATTACAGAGCGAAAAGTCAATTTAGTTGATCACGTCTGCGTTGGCATTTATAGTCGTGAAAGGGTAACTCGAGTAATTGTACGGAGATAGGCATGTCTTACAAAGGAGATACATGAAATTTTAAGATCGCGATTAACTCGTTTGTGAGGTCCCACGGTCGTGATGCAGCTGCGGGGAACAATTTACGGTCTCGTTTCGCGATAGTGCCCCGTGGAGAGCGATCGTGACTTCGCTTTCTGGCACGGCGATGTCTTACAAGATATCGACTCACGACCGCAACGCTTTGAATTCCAACACGATGTGAGGCTTTTTTGGTTATTTTTTACCCGACGTCCGCCGATACGTCGTTAAATACAGAGAAATCAAGCGTTCGATGTCCTTGCTTGCCGCTTCGATTTCGTATTCAAGAATGCGGTTAGATCGGTCGACATTCTGATAGTTCCTTAAGTTGTATTAGTAAATAATATTGGGTTCGATGGAATCGTGCACAGCCGGCGCCCCGGGGCCTTAACGATGCTACGAAACATTGAGCTTATCCGACGATTTCTAAAGACTCCAAATTTACGAGATCAATAAAGTAAGAAAAGCTAGTTTATTCGATTTATATCGCTAATAGAGAGATCTCGCTACTTTCTTCGCGGATTCGGCACAGCGCTCGCGTCTCCTAAATCACGTTTGTTTTGAACATTACCAGCAACTGGCAGTGATTAAAATTTACGTGGCGCGACCAAGTATTAACGAGCACGCATTGCTAAGGGGCTTGTAGCAAGCGGTACATATAAATCCTTCGAGATGCACCTGCTCGGACCGACAGCGGTCTCGTTGCATTTCAGATATTAAAAGAACATTTATTGCTTCAACAGCTGAGTCACTAGGACCGACGAGTGATTTAATGAGGATAATTATTGCTGATTGCTGTAGTCATTAGCTCGAGTCGAAAACAGCGAGACGAGGTAATTAGAACTAGCGAAATGGCAATCACGCAGGTGTCGCTCGGAATGCCAAATAGGAATAAATACATGTTTGAATATTCAGATTGTGTCAGTACACGGTCGTTTACGCGGCGCCGGCGCAGGTGGCTCGCTTCAAGGCTGAAATTCAAAACAGTCACGCACGCGGATAGCGGTCTAGATAAACTTCTTGTTTACTTATCTTACCGTTTTATTACGCTTTGACATTTATTACATCATATTAAGACAATAAATGAATTGTAAGGTAGGTATGTTCATGATAGCGACTTTCAAATTATAATGACTATATTTTGTAAATAGTTGCATTTAGACAGCGATTCTACTGTGAACAATAGTGTAATGCGTACGTCACTTGTTGTGAAATTGTCAGCATCTCCGCTTTTACCTTCCCGCGCTTGCGAAACGCGCAGGTGTGCGCGGCAAAAACCCCGACACGACCGATTTCATTAACTTTTTATGCAACATCTATTCGAGCGGTGCGCTAGTTGGATTTTTTAAACAATTACTTTTAAATTTTAAATAAAGCGATAACTAATTAAAGTGAATGAGAGATAATAACTACATATTTTGAATTTAAAAACCTACCGTATGACTTGCTTGATGTGTCGTCGTTGTGACTGAAGATCTTTCAGGGAGAATGGTGTTTGGGGCAGGCCGTGGTCCGAGGGGGCGGCGACGGGGCCTCGGGGGCGACGAGCACGCAGGCGCCAAAGCCGCCTCCGCTTCGAACTGACCCACTGCGGGGTGGTTCTCCAACGCCGATTGTAGGTCACAAATATAATCAATCACATGCTGGATCACTTCTAGCTTTGAGATCCGTCTGTTCTTCGGCATGAAGGGAACCAGATCCTGCAGTTTCGAGAGGTACATTTGGATTTCGGCGTTCTCCCCATCCCTGTGACGCTGCACTCGACCGCTGGCGATCGCCGGCACGGACGCTCCAGTTGCGCACACCGCCGTTATGGCTTTCATCGTGAAATTACACACACACACAAGTTAACACGACACGTGACACGTACGGCTCGTATGGGTAGCGAGCGAGGAATGAAGTGATGAGCGCTGCGACGTCGTATTTATGGGCGCTGGTGGGGCGCGGGGCGGCTGCGGGTCGACCAATGAGAGCCAGTGGGGCCGAAGCCTGATTTTCCCATGGCGGCGCAACAGTGGCGTCTGCCTTGCGCTGGGCGGCCCTGGCTAAGGCCGTTGCGCTCGTGACACGCACTTTGTCCTACTGTTTGTTTTGAGATATTATTTCTCTGTAGGTTTTTAGCAGTTTTTATTACCTGTATGACTGAGGTAATTTGCCTTATATGATTCGCTTTACATATATTGTCAATTACGGCAAATTGTTGTGTTCTTTGTAAAGAGTTGAGCCGCTTTAGAAAATAGAAAGTTTGAAAAATAAGCGCCATGCAATTAGTTTGCATTTAATTTAAAACCTATGTTATACACGATGCTTGATAAATTAAACAACTTTATAGTGTGTGTTTGTGTAACTTATAAAAGTATTAGGGCATGGCGTGAACACATTTCTGTGTCTGTGTTAATAATAAGACTTCTGAGCCCTGCTCGACCGGAACAATATATTGTCTTACTGGGATTCGAACCCAACACCTTTCGCGCTTTATACTAGGAAACACGTTTAACATTTGGCTACAAAGGGCGTGTCACCATTAGTTATTATTAGTATCTACCACTTACGATTTAAGAAAAATATGGCGATCAATTCAAATAAATAGATTGGAAAGGGTTAATTATTATACATACATTATAAATATTAATATATAATTAATTATTATATTAATATTTATAATGATTATTTGTCGAACATAACGCGTGTTTTTTTAATACTTGTATTGCTGCATATTATTAACTTTTAATTCGAATGAATAACGTTAAAACAATAAACTTACACTCTATTAAAAAAAACGAAATTTATCAGCAAAAGTCCTTTAGTCGTTGTTTCGGCGGGAGGCGTTTGATCGCTTTAGAGTTTTTCAGCCGCCGAGCCCATAAAGGCTACCTAATATCAGCAATTTATTTCACACGGGCATAACTACGTGTCCGAACTGTAGCCAGGGGGGGTCGGGGAGAACAATGGCCGTACGTGACGGTATCCACTTGTCGACGTAGCGCTCACATAAATAAAGGTAACGGAGGCTGCGCGTTTAAACGAACCGCAGGCTTACCTGCGAAGTAGATTATTAATAGATTTTAAGTGTCAAAATGAGTCTTGGCCTTCGAGATTTTGACAAGTACTTATTATTTGTGGTAAACTAATTAACATGTTTAATATTATCTGCAGTGTACGCAAATAGTACACATTTAGATAAAACACTTTAACGTTTTAAAACGCGACATATTATATTAGTTAAGCTTATTTCAACTACGGCCCAACGTTTCGGATGCCATGGTCACGGGGAGACATCGGTCATTTTTAAATAAGATTAAGTAATATATTTTACGTTTTACCGTTAAATTAATTTTAAATGTTTTATTTAAATAAATTGTAAGTTATGTCAATTAAATTATATGAATTATATTTATGTTAAACAGCTTACTAACTGTAAAATATACATTTGAAAAACGCTGAAAATATAACAAACTTCTAGTTTTCCTCTATCAAAGACGAGAAAAAATATCTGTGTCTATGTCTATATCTAGTAACGAAGGATTTCCATATTCTGTACCAATTAAACAGAGTGACACCTTAATTTTCTCATCGCATTATTCTACGAATAACAGTTCGGTTTAAAACGCCGCTCAAATGATTACTATAATGATTGTAATCGAAAAATGCCATTATCGATTAATTAGGAAGTCGAAAACCGACCACACAATGAGGTTTTATTCGTGCTAACAAAATAAGTAAAAAATAAGGCGCATTGAGCAAAAAGTCACCTTGGAGGTGGGAGTAAGAACCCAGGTAGTGAATTGCTTTATTAAGCCGGGGGCTTGTGTTTTGTATAAGTTTTATACGCTAAGATGTTCTCGGAATTCTTATTGATTGTTACTAATTTTGTTATTGTGATAACTCGAGATTCTTTAAGTTGTTTATAATATGGGGTTACTAAGAGTTAAGTGTTGCTTACGCAAGTAGTAAAACATTTTTAACGGATTAAACGCGAAATATCGTATTTTAAATTCTTTATAATTGCGACTCGGACTTTTCGAATGCTTTCAAATAACTGTTTCTTTATTTGTTATCAGTGTATATATATATAATATGTTATATTTCACCGTTTTAAATCGTTAATTTTGGTTTGTTTTGGGAGTAAGGTAACATTTAATAAGCTAATTGATTGACGTTTAATAAAAGAAGACATACGTGTATGTAGGTATGTGTCGTTGATCGTTTCATAGTTGTCAAGTTGATATATCTTTATTATTAAGGAATTTTCATGTTCATTATTAACATATATTTTAGATGTAGAAACGGGGATCGAACTTGCAACCTCGGAAGTCGAATGAACACTTTGCAGATAATGCCTCTTAAATAGTACAATACCCTTTGTAACTTTTAAAGACGGGAAGTTCGCACGACTTACGATCAAAATCTCAGCGGTCAGGTAAAATAATTTATTTATATGTGACCAGGCGAAATAACGTGTCGTCATGGTTACCTAAGAAATTATATTTGTTGACAGAAATATTCAAGTGAAATTATATTGTCGCCTCACGTACATCTCTTTGTTATAACCTAATCTTCTATCTAAAGCACCTTGCGGAGCAATTTGTTTCAGATATTGTTTTAAATAGACAGGTAAGGTCCTTTGTCAAATGGGAAACAATGTCTTGATATAAAAAACCACTTTTGTATAAACAGTGCCATCTCGAAAGGGACGTGAGGTGTTTTTACGAGTTTGGGTCAGCAAAAAATCATTTCGTCATGCACAATTCTGTTCTCGCAGGTGTAAATTGTTGTTTGTGATGATACCTTTGAGGGATTGTGTGAAACTGCGTTAAATAGATAATGTTATAGTTAAAATTGAAGTCACGTACTTACAACTTCCTTGTGCAGCGTGTCACCGAATTAAGAGTTCTCATCTGAAACAAAGTCTTGGGTTTCTTGTTAAAGGGTCTAATGTGGTACAAAATCAAGGAAGATCCCATTACGGTACACGCGAATTGATTAAAAGTGATTTGTGGTAGTAGTGGTAGTATTGGTATAGAACCATACATTTAAAGTAAGATTTAAGGCAGCATTTAAAGCTGACCATGAGAGTTACATGTTTAGGTAATGAGAAATTTGCTGATTATAACGTACGGTTAACTGGAGCACTATACGTTCACATTCGCTAAAAACTAAAGACTCTAAATTTACATTTAATATCAGTTCCCTTGATTGGGATATTGTGAATAAGGGAGTACGGTATTTGTTTTGATAAAAGCTAGATGCTTCGACTTTGTACTTGACTCTGACCTATATACAATATGTCTCTTTTCAAAAAATTATAATAAAATAATACAAAGCTATCTACTGATAACTACCTACCCTACTAATTGATTAATAATACAACTCACAAATGTATTGAAATTAATTTAAATGATGACTCTCTTTTATTTAAGCTTTTGCTTATGTAAGACAACATAGAGTGCTTTTGAATACAACACTTTTAACTGTTTTAAAAGCAAAATGTATTAGATAAATTTTAACTGTGGCCCGACGTTTCAAATGTTTTGCTGCATCCCTCCCCATGACCACGGCCGCGCTAGTTAACATAAATTAAAATCGCGATAGCTAATATATTAGTCGTTTTAAAATGTCAAACGTGTTTTATTTAAATGTGTAATCGCGTAAACTACAGACGGTACTTAAGATACTTTTCTGTATCTTGTCTCGGTTAAATAATTCTATAGAAACGAGTATAGCTCCAATTCCCTAATGTACTTTAATTAAGGCTACATTAGACGTGTGTCGGGGCGGAGTGCTTACATCGGACCCCGTCGTGGGAGTGCCAAGCGCGTGCCGCTCCCATCGCGTGATACACCCTGGTTGATCAGCGATATTGTTCCATTCATTTGGTAAATGCACCACTATGCAATATGCGCTTTAATTGGCATTCACCTATCTGTTCTTATAAATCAATTATTATATTTGCTACGTTGAAACGTTCACTTTATTTAAGTAATTTTATAAATAAATTTACGCTCTCTGGTAAGTGATCGGCAAATAAAGGAAAATTGACTATACTATGTTGTGTCTGTGCGTCTCCTTACAACTAAAGATATAGCTGTAAAACGTAATATTGATGCCAGTATTTTTTAACAATTTAAAAAACGGAGTTTTTAAATTTGGATTTCGGACTTTGAAACGTAATTCTGTTTAGCGATGCCCTAATGACTAGATCCTAATATTTAAATAAAACACTTGTAACGGTTTCAAAAACGAACTGTATTGGTTTATTTAAGACTTTTATCGTTTAGAAACGCGAAATGTTTAAGTTTTTTTAACTATGTATATTTCGGATGTCTTGCAGCAGCCAGTATTCGAACTGTAATTCATTTCGTTCACATTTTCCAGCTCGTACTAATTAATTAAGTATTATATGTAAACGACAGACAATATTATATTCTAACCAGTCTCATAAGTATTATGACTAGCCAATATTGGTTCGCCGTTATTACAGCATATATTTGCTGAGTAAATAAGAAAATATAGCCCTCTGCTCCCACGGGAGGGCGCGAGAAATCCTTTAATTCGTGACCTGCAGGTGCGGGCTCATTACGAGCTTTTCCGACGCGTGACCGACGCGTGGCGGCTTCGTAACGCTGATCGAAGCATTGTTTGCTTCCACTATCGCTGTATTGATCTATGCAAGACTTATATGTACGTGACTCACGCTGTACAAGTTTTTTTTTAATAATAAACAGAAAAGGATGGAGTTCGCTTGATGCTGTCCACCAGTTTTGGCTTTAGTTATTTGGAGAACCAAAGACTGGTACGAAACGCGATTCAATTTTACGGTTCG